TTCTTTCTTTCTTTCTTTCTTTCTTTCTTTCTTTCTTTCTTTCTTTCTATTTTTATACATCTTTTAAAATGATTTATTTATTTTTATTTTATGTTCCATTGGTGTTTTGCTTGCAGGTATATCTCTGTGAGGGTGTCAGATTCCCTGGAACCGGAGTTATAGACAGGTGGGAGCTGCCACACGTGGGTGCTGGGAATTGAACTAGGGTCTCCTGGAAGAGCTGCCTGCGCTCATAACCACGGAGCCACAAGGTCTCATGTAGCCCAGGCTGACCTCAAACCCACTGTGTAGGGGAGCACGATCCTGAGCTTCTGACCACTTGCTCTTTTTTAGGCTTATAGATGTGTCTCACCATATCTAGCTCTCCATCTTGTTTTTGAGATAAGGTCTGAAACTCACAGCAATCCTCCTGCCTCCTCAGCCTCCTGAGACTACAGATGTGCCATACTTTGCCTGATAGGTCTGCCCCTCTCTCAACATGTTCTGAGAGAAGAAGAGATTATTTCTATTTTATTTTACCTTGTATGGGGATGATTGAGATGTTTTTTTTTAAGAATTAATAACCCATTTCTCCTTGCACGTAATTAAAATGTTCTCCAGTCTCTAATTTTTGTCATTTTCATAATCTAATTTGTTTTCAGAGTGTATCGATTCCTTTTCTGAGTACAAAGCAAGGGGGATTTTTTTTTCTTTCTTTAAGGTGCTTAGGATCCAAGTGTCCAGGAATCATTTAAACTCTGTGATTTTCTCCTTGGTTAAATACAGCACAAATGGGGCCATCAGAGGGATCTTAAAAAGCACAACCCCGGAAACAACAAGGCCCCCCCCCAAAAAAAAAAAACCAAAAAGACAAAAACCTTTCAAGTTGCTGCCTGCTCACATAGTTAAAAATTTACTATGAACAGGGCGGAGGGAACCACGGTGACAATAACTAGGCCCAAGCCCACCGGGACAGGGTGCCGCCTGGCTGGCTGGGTCTGTAGCTCCGCACAGGGGAGCCTGGAATCCACTGCAGGGGAGTTTTAGTCTAGTTAAATTCACCTGCACACTGCACCCTCCCTCTGAAAAAAAAAAAAAAAGAAAGAAAGAAAGAAAGAAAAAGAAAGAAAATAAAAACCCATGGAATTCTCACTGTGATTGAATGGGTTCAGAGACTGACAGGAACTGGGATTCCTGGGATCCTGATGGGGGTCAGGAGAGGCTCGAGGAGGGAGATCCCCTTTCTCCAGCTTTCCTCCCCACCCCTCTATTCCCGAGGGGAGCCACCACCCTGCCTCAGCCATGAGCTTTACTTTACGACCCCTGCTTGGAAAACCCCTTCTCTGGGTGCCCCTGAAAGATGTCTTGAGGCTAAATTTATGCTGAAGGAGGAATTTTCACCCCATGCTGTCTCCACCTGCTTGGGCTTGCTGGGGTGTGGCTGTGGCTGTGCCTGTGTGTTTGGGGGTATGTGGAGAGGAGGTGGAGTTGGGCAGGAATCCTTCCTGTTCCCCAAATCTGAAAAACAAAAATTTAACTTCCCTGTTTACAAAATACCAGCCACCGTCTTGTGCCGGGCTCAGCTACTCCTTAGGCTCCGAGGCTCTTGTTGGAGGGGAAAAAAAAAAATGTCTGAAGTAGTTAAACATGTTGGACCATGCAAGCATCCCTCCATGGCATCGAGGGTTTTCTTTCTTTCTTTTTTCATGGTCCCCTCCCTCTTCTTCTTCCTTTTTTTTTTTTTTAACCAAAGTATATTCATCAAACTGCTGAGTTGGAAAGATTTGTAATGAGTTTCTGAGCTGTGTGCGACTGTGTTTTCCCCCCCCTCACCCCCCCACCCTCTCCCTCTTTCTAAATCTTCATCTGACATTAAATAAAACAAATCCCAAACAGATTAACTGTCGCATGGTTCTGCTCCGTCTCTTCAGTCTGTTTGCAGGTCTGGCGGGGGACCCGGCAGTGGCGGCGGTAGTGGTGGCGGCAGCGGCGGCGGAGGGAGATGCCCAGGCGGCCCACAGAGGTCCATGTGGCGCCCTAGGTGGGATGCTGGCATCCTGAAGGCCGAGGCCCTGGCCCTGCTCCCCTGTGGCCTGGGCATGGCGTTCTCCCAGTCACACGTGATGGCCGCGCGGCGACATCAGCATGGCCGGCTCATCATCGAGGTGGATGAGTACAGCTCCAACCCCACCCAGGCCTTCACCTTCTACAACATCAACCAGGGCCGCTTCCAGCCACCGCACGTGCAGATGTAAGTGCAGATGCCCAGGGACCGGGTGGGGACAGGGATGCGGGTGTCTCCTGACGCACTCCAGGGGCCTGTGGACCCAAACTCGCTCTGCTGCAGGACGCCTTCATCCTGCTGTTGGCCCTTCATCCTGTTTTATTTGGCTTGGTGAATGCTTAAGAAATGCTTGAAAATGAGATGATTGTATCGAGAGATACAAGATTTGACGATAAAACCGGAAGTTGTGAACCCCCAGGCTTCCTTGTTCGGGTGGGGGTGGGGTGCGGTGGGGGGTTGGGAAGTTGGGTTGGGTTTGGGGTGGGGTGGTTGGGGCTGTCTGGGAGCTGAGTTTCAGCTGTGCCCAGGGGTGTGGTTTTGGGCTCCTACTTTGAATTACTCTAACAGGGAGACTGAGTCACAGGGAGGGAGAGGGCATTCGGGTGAGGGCCCCATGCTGGACTAGCTGTCTCCTCCCCTCCCTTTGTCTGACCCTGTGCTTCTAAAGTGTTCTACTGGGGAAGACCTGGGGGTTCAAGTACCACCTCCTCCCAGTTTCACAAACCTTAGTGTCTCAGGTGCCTTCTTGCTCGGGGTCAGAGTCACCTTGATTCAGCACAGAGGAGAGAGACAGAACATGGAAGTAGCAGCTCTGGCCAGGGCGACCCAGTGCTGTGCGGTTGCTAGAAGGCCATCTCCAGAACGTTAGACTGTCCCTCGGGATACAGACCCTAACTTCTAGGGCAGGAACCCTACTTCTGAGGAGTGAGTGGACTCAGGCAGTCCCAGCAGCTGTCAGTCAGGGACAAGGGACAAGGAGGTCCTCAAAGCCCAGTGTGCAGAGCGATGTGCAGTAGCGGAGTGGTGTGTGGCTACTCCTTCCTGAGGGGCTTCCTTCAACCCCAGGTTCTGTTAAAAGTGTTCTGGGAGGGGGGATTCACTGGGAGAAAGGCAGTGAGCATGGCAGTTCTGTGGTCTGGGTGTGGGTGTTTCCAATGTGGGAACGCCTATTTTCCCAGGAGCTCTCGCTGGAACAATGCTCTTTCCAGTGTGTGTGTGTGTGTGGGGGGCTTTGTTTCATGTTGTCAGGAGGTGTAGTTTGTGGTAGATTTCCCTCATTTTTTACATTTAAATAAAATTTGGGAAGTAGACTGGAGGATTTCTGCAGGCTGAATGCCTTGTTGAGGGCACAGCTATTTGTTCTTTGGGACCTAGTAGCCTGGTGAGGATGCTGCAGGCAGAGGCCTGTCTCCACCGGCTTAGACTTCTTTTTTCTTTTGATGGGACTGGAGGTGATGATACTGAGGTCCCTGATACTGGACTGGACTCTGTCCAGTGGGAACTCGAGAGAGCCCCAGGCCCTCAGATAGAGCAGTAGGGGCTGGTATGTGTCTGTGTTTGCGCACACAGCCATCTGTGAGCGTGCTGGCCTCAGAAAAATTGCGCTGTGGGACTCTTGAGGAAGGTGCTTCTGCCTGGGTTGGGTAAACCATGGAGATCCTAGCCTGAAGGGGAAAAAAAAGCCATGCAGACTGGACGATGGGAGAGGAAGGCTGAGGAGGGTCTGTCAATTTTGGGGTGTCTGGAAATGACCTTCTTGAGAAGGTAGATTCTAGTTGAGACCCCGAGGAAGGGGGGATGACTGGGAATGGGTATCAGGAATCCCCCGTCTAAGCAGAAGAGTAGGGCCACAGGGGGCCAGAATGGGAGAGGGTGTCAGAGAATTTCAGAGTGCCATCTGGGTAGAGGGGCCTGGGCAGGAGAGGCCAGGCTGCGTCCTAGGAAAGGCACTGAGTGAATGAGTGAGAGGGGGTGGCTGTTTCCATTTGACCAGGGAACGGTGGAGGCCAATCCTCTCCTTCCCCTTCCCCGCCCTCCCTTCTCTCTCCTCCCCTCCTCCTCCCCGTGTCCATTCATTCAGGTTCCCTGGAAACAATTAGGCAGCTTGTTGGTTAGAAACACAGGTCCCTGGTTGGCCTACGTGGGTGGGGCTCATGCTTCTTGATGCCTCAGTTTCCCCAAACAAACAAACAAACAAACAAACAAACAAAAAAGCTGTTTACAGAGATGCTGACTATGCGATAGAGAAGCATCCATGTGGTGGAGCCATGTGAGTGGCTGGTGTTCGTGGAGCCTGGACATGGAGCTCAGTGCTTGAAGTGCTCAGAGACAGCTGCCTGCCCTCCCTGGGCTTGTGTTTCAGGCATCTGCTGAGAGGCAGCAGCAAGTCACAAGAACGTGTCAGCGTGTGACACTTGTAGTGGTAAAAGCCACGGGGAAAAAGTATGGTGGCTTTCTTGTTGTCTAGCTGGTGTCTCCCTCTTTGGCCTGGGGAGCTAGTGAAGGCCCTGAGTGGCCACAGGGGTGTGAGAAGGCCTGCGAAGGAGCACAAAGAGAGCTTTGGAAGTCAACATTGCATTTATCAGGATGGAGTCTGGGTAGGTGCAGGGCCCTGGGGCCGCCGCTTCCTGTCCCTTCCATTCAGATGCCAGATCTGAGGCCCCCAGGCTGTTGGGGATTTCCTTGGCCCCTCTGTCTCGGGCAGAGGTGTGCAGGGTGGACACCGCTCCCTGCCTAGTGGTCAGTCACTGCCATGGGCTTTGTCTGTGGGGTGAGGGAGCAGGGGTCCTACTGAATAAATCCGCAATTTGTATTAAATGATGACAGTGACAGTGGCCTCTGAGCTGTGTGATTTACTCAGTGGCCCCGGAGACCCTACTGGTGACTAGTCTGCCTTCGCCTGAGTGATGACTCTCTGGAACCGGGGCAATGGCCCTCCAGACATCAAGTCCCCTGGCGTGCAGGCGTAACCTGGGCAGCAGGAGGGAGGGACAGGATTACTGGAGTCTGCCTTCGGGGTGTCTGGTGTGGAGACACTTGGTGTTAAGCAAGCAGCTCTTCCCTTTGTCCTTTTGGCATCCCTGGAGACGTGGGACAGGGCCTTTAAATGGCCTCTGGGCTCTTCAGGCAGTGCTAGGTGCTGGAGAATGTAGGGACAGGAATGCTGAGATCTAGGCTGGGAGGAACCTTCTGCCCCTGGTCCCTGGCACTTCACTGGGTTGATACCTGATCCCCTCTGCAGGGGGAGAAACTGAGGCTTTGGAAGGGAGCATACAGAACAGGGACACCCACTCGGCCCCGTGCGAGGCTTGGCCTGTTTGCCAGCTGAGAGGAAGAGGGCTTAGCCCAGAGCTGAGCAGGGGCCGGGGCAAAGCCGGAGAGGACTCAGCCACGTTCTGCGTGCCTGGGCTGCAGACAAAGTAGATGCTTCCAGTTTCCTGAACCTTCCATTCTTCCTCCTGCCCCAGGTCTTGTGTGTGCTTGTATGTGTGTGTGCATGTGGTGTATGTGTGTGTGTGTGTATGTGTGTGTGTACATGTGGAGGCCAGAGGTCAGCCTCAGGTGTATGTTCTCAGGAGCCGTCACCTTGATTTTGGTCACCTGGATCTTGTCACTCAGGCTAACTCCATCCTGCGTCCGTCTCCCCAGCACTGGGATCGAAGGCATGCACCTCTTGTCCAGTTTTTCCTTGGGTTCCAGGGATTGAACTCAGGCCCTTCCACTTCTGAGGCAAATGCTTTCCTGACTGAGTCATTTCTGCAGCCCCAGCCTTAGATCTTCGCACAGACTGTTTCCCTGGCTCCTCTAGCTCTCCACCCTGTGTGCTCGGTAGGAAAGCCTTGTGCAAATCTTACCGGTCAGGAATCCTCTGGCCCTGCCCCCGGCTGCAGATGCTCTTTCTTGGCCAAGCTTGGTTCCTAGGCATCCCTGCCCCATCCTTGTGCCTGGGCCCTAGTCCAGTGAATGGAAAGAAAGGAGACGGGAGGGAGGGTGCAGCCAGGTAGAGCCCTGGGGGTCTAGGACAGTCTGGAGCTCAGAGATGTTTCAGTGGGTGAGGGAAGGAGGGTGCACCACCCCAGCTGGAAGGGTCAGCTAGTTACGGGAACCTCAGACTTCAGTTCAGAGCCACTTGTTTCTCTGGGGCCTGTGTGGGTTGTTTGACACAGGGATAGTACTGTACAGGATGGTTTTGGGGGACAGAGCTGAAGGTGCTTTACCCACTGAGTGACCTCCTGAGCCCCCCTGAAGCCAGTTTGCATGGCTGAGACTGTGGGTGAAACAGCCTCTTCCCGAGCCTTGGTTTTGTCACCTGTGAAATGGAGATGCTGGCACGATACTGGGTAGAGGGTGACGAGCAAGGGGAGGGAAGCAAATGCGGTGACGCTGCTCAGTCTGTTCTGAGTTCCCAGACACTGGGAGCGAAGCTTCCTCTCTTTTCTTGCAAGGTTGGGCAAACAGCTTTGCCGCAGAACTGAGCTGGGGAAAGGAGGCTTTAGCTAGCTCTCTGGGGAATCTCTAGGCTGCTATCTTCGCTGTGTTCAGAAGCCTCAGGGTGCAGGGAAATAAGGTAAAGTTAATTAAAGAGCTCAGGCTCCCACTGCCTCCCCGATGATGACAGCCCTCGGCTGCCTGGTGGCCAGGTCGCCCCTGAAGGAGAGGCTGCTGAGACCCACTATGCTTGCAGCCTCTCCTGTCTTCCATTCTCTCCATCTTTTGACTTGGTCTTTGTAACTTTATGGCATCTATAAAGTGTGTGTGTGTGTGTGTGTGTGTGTGTTCATGAGCGTGTGTGTATGTGTGTGATGTGTACATTTCTTTGTTCTGTGGTGTGTGCTATGTGTATACATTATGTGTGTGTTTAATGGGTGAAGAAAGAACACATGGATCTATTTGGTTTGCCTGATTCCTGTGTCCACTGGTAGTCCGGCGCTGATTGGCTGCCTGTGGTCCAGTCAGCGCTGTCAGGATGGGCAGAAAGCACAGGGGGAAACCACCTCTGGCCCCCGCAGCCCGTTAGACTGCCTTGGAGAGAAGGCGCTGGGAGTCCCAGAGGACATAGAAAGGTGAAAATCTGGATCTGTTCACACACTGCTTCCTTCTGGAAGCTTCCAGGAGCTCAGAGCGTCGGGATGAGAAATGGCTTTCTGTGGTCCCCTCCCTCCTGTTGCCCCAGCACAACTGGGGACTGCAGGGTCACAGTCTGGGCAAGTCTGTAGCTGCCTGCCGTCTGTGGGCTCCTGGTAGGCAGGGTCCTACAAGCTCATCCCCCTGGCCCTCCCTGGGCTCAGAAGCTGGCTCCTATTAGCTCCTCAACCCTTGTGCTAATTGAACACAGGATGGGTGGATGGAGAGAGGAGCCCGCTCATCACCGGGCTCATTTGGAAAATTTCGCTGCCTTTCCAGCCAGCCTAGCTCTATAGAGCTGCTGGGGCTCTGTCTGGGCTTAACAACCCCCAAAGGGGTCCAGGGGTGCTCCCCCCTGTGGTACCCAAGGGAAGGGGAGAGGCTGGCGTGGTGATTCCACCTGCTGCAAGATGCAGCACAAGGGTGCACCGTGCACATTAGCATGCTGAACCCATGTCTCTCATAAGGTGTTAATTAAATTTCTTCGAAGTATATTGTCTGAAAAAAAAAAAAAAGGATAATTAGAAAGATGTCTTTAAAAGTATTTATGTAACTGATACGGTACTGCTTTGGGTTTGACGCGTAATTAGATTTAAACACGACTCCTCCAGCGGCATACTCGTTTGGAGAGGGCTGCTTGTTGAAATGTCACTGTGTTGTTTTTAAGCCCGGTGAAGGCATTTAGTCACAGATGCGGTACGCTCCGAGGAGAACATCAGATTGGGGGCCTGTGGCGGTGGAGTCCTCAGCCTGGCTGCGAGGGCTCCTGGGAATGGGATGTAGCTTATGCTGTGTTCCTTTCAGTTCTGGAGTGTTCTTGTCCAGGGAGGTGCAATTCAGGCCTCGGGTTCTGCTTGTGGTCTAAGTGACAGTGGCGGAGCTGCGCTCAGGGACCTGGTGTTCCGACTGCAGGGGTATCATCTTACGGCATCCCAGAAGGCTCTCAGTATCAAAACGAATGCACTGCCTTAGTCTCTGGGACACTGTCACCTGTCTTTTTGGGCCCCTCCCCCGCTGTCCTCCTCGCTGATGGGGCTTCTGCATCTTTTGCGCACTGTGCTGAGGCTGAACTCAGGACCAGTTTTCTTGAATGGACCAGGGATTCCAGGCCACACAGTATCAGCTGGGCAATGGTGCCCCCCAGGGGTGAGAGATGGTTTTGAGGGGTTGGAAAAAAAAATCTGACTTCTAGCCAAAGCATAGATGGTATTTCTGCAGTGGAAACGCAGGCCTAGCAGTGATGAGCAAAGCTGGGAAATGCTGCTTTCGTCCAGAGATGCTGGGCAGTGATTGTAGGCGCTGCATGTGGGCACGGCAATCAGACCTTCATAGAGGCTGGAGGTTCCCATGTTGCTGAGCACACCCCCTCTGCTCCCGCCTCCAATAAAACAGCTTAAGGAAGGATTTATTTTGGCTCACAGTTTAAGGCCACAGTCTGTCACGATTTGGAAGGCATGGAGGCAGGACTATGTTCAGTGACCTCTGGTGCTCAGCCCTTCTTGTTTTCATTCAGTCTGGGACTCAGTGGCGTCCCCTACATTCAGGGTGAAAACCTTGAAAGAAACATCCTCATAGATACCCCAGGTGTGTGTTTCCATGGTTATCCAAAATTCCGTCAAGTTGACAATGAAGACTAACCCTGGGACAGAGGGGAAGCTGAGGCACGGGGGACAAGAACAGTTTGCTGGGTCCTCCGGAAGGCCGGCAGCTTGGCTCGTGTTCAGTTTGACCTCGTCTGAGTTGATGAGGCTGGGAGCCTGGAGGGACCCACCGCCCCACCGGATCACAGCTCCGTGACCCCTGTAACCTGCAGCAGCATCTTCTCTCTCTGCAGGGTGGACCCGGTGCCTCATGATGCCCCAAAGCCACCTGGCTACACACGCTTTGTCTGTGTTTCTGACACGCACTCAAGGACAGATCCCATCCAGATGCCCTACGGTGACGTGCTGATCCACGCCGGGGACTTCACGGAGCTGGGGCTCCCGAGCGAGGTGAAGAAGTTCAATGAGTGGCTGGGTAGGTCTCCTTGGGTACTGAGCACACCCCGTGCTTGGGAGGATGTGGCATCCGGAGCCGCCCTCCCCTGAAGCTCCTGGGACTGGGCCTGTCCACCACCTTGGGGAGCCTTCGCAGACTGGGTCTTGTACTTTTCTCCCACCCCATTGGGGCCTCCCTTCCCAACACTGATCTTGACTGTGGCTGCCATTTTGTCTGTCAGTGTCTTTGGTCTTGGAGACCAAGGACTTGGCTCAGGTGTGTGTGGACCCCTGTGTGCGCAGCCTTGAGTGCCAGGCACAGGTGCTCATGAAGCGGCTGGTGAATGAATGGATGACTGAATGAATGAATGGCCGAACTGGTGTGTGACGAATGGCTTTCTGGAAACAGTGATGTCAGGGCAGGTCCTCTCTCCATACACTTGTGGTTTAGCCTCCAGTGAGGGGGACCCTCTTCTCGGTGGCCCCATAGGGGCACAGGAACCTGAGGTGGTTCATTCTGTGGGCAGCAGAGCCTGACCCCATAAGGTAATAGCAGGTAGGGCTTTGTCCAGCTTTTCTTTTTCCAAAATAAAGAGATAAAGTAACATGCTCTTCTCACAACACCCAGGGTAGGAAATTTGCATGTTCTGGAATCTGGGAAAGTCACAGTGAGGTGGCTCTGTCTCCGCCTTAGGGAGGGTGGGCTGGGTAGCCTGGTGCATGGGCCTGCTGTCCTGGAGAGGAGAGGTAGGTGTGTTGATCCTCCGCACACTCTCCAGTGGCTGTGGCTGCTGGACTGTCCAGTTCATTTGCAGTCCCCAAGTGCACTACTGTGCACAGCTGGGAGCTGTGGAGCAGGGGACCAGCCATGAAATGGGTAGCTGCAGCCAATGAGAGGCCCGGCTCTGCCCAGTGGAAACAAATATTTACAAGCAAGGATTTGCTTCCATTTGGCAGCCTGGGTGCTTTAAATATTGATTTTTCAAATGGGAAATTTTAATCCAGGCTCCTTTGGGCTGAAGCATGTGAAGGCTAGGGCTAGAAGAGTGTGTAGCTAAGGCCAGTGACAGCCAGCTGCCTCCCTGGCCATGCTCTGGGCCACCTTTTTCAGGGTTCTCTATGCCCAGGGCCGTTCTTTATACCTTCTGCTGTGAGTGATGAAGGAAGAGAGAGGCTCCATTTGGCTGGGTCAGGGTCCTCATAGGCCAGTCACCTACCATGTACCAGGCCCGGTGTAGCCAGCTCCTTTTTACTCTCCACCTTGGTGAAGTGTGGCCATAGCTTTGGCAAGGTGGTTCTCTTTGCACCCTCTTTGGACAGAGGTGTATTCGTGGACCTGCAGTGTGCCTCAGCCCCAGCTGAGTGGTCTATAAGTCCGGGACCACAGCCTGGCAATGGGCTGCGGCTTTCCCCAGGGAAGGAATGTCTTCAAGGGGGACTTGGCTTGGAGGCTTGGGGCCTTGACAGAAGAGATGAGAGTCTGCAAAGCCAGATGGTTTGGGGGCAAAGGCTTCCGTATGTGGGCCTCTCTTCTTGCTGATTGAAGTGTTTGGAGAGCCCAGGACTGTCATGGTCTAGGGTGAGCTGCAGACTGGAGAGCTGGGAGCCGCCCTCTACTCTTGATCCAGGGTGGAAATGTTATTGGTCTCTAGAGGACAGCTCCTGCCAAGAAAAGAGAGGTTCCCAAGGGCTTGGAGATTCAGACTGAGAGACAGTTGAGCGTTTGTACAGGGTGTGTCTATATACGGCACGTGTTTCCTGAGTGTCTGCTCTGTGCCCTTCTGTGTGGAGCCACCTCCTCCAGTCCCAATGACATGAGCGAGCAGATCCATTGTACAGGGTAGAAAGTCAAGGTCCAGAGAAGCAAAGCCACTTGCCCAAGGTCACACAGCTAGCATGTGGTAGCTGGCTTCAAACTCAGGTAGCAGGACTGCGGTGAGGCGCCTCGTTGCCCCTCTTACTCTAGGAGTAGAGGAAGGAGTTGGCTGCACAGGTTCACCCTCTGGGCTGACACGCTGGGTCTGCTTCCTGAGGGGGTGACAGCGGCAGCTGGAGGTCTTTCACAGACCTCAGCAACCTCATTTTGCCTGGCGGTCAGGCTCCCTTTGCCTTATCCACCCCAAAGACAGATTGGAGGCGGAGGTGGGAGGAACAGTTAGGCTTGGTGGACTGTAGAGTGGAGTCCATGTTACAGTTGCTTCTGTGAATGGGAATTTGCCATATCAGGGCTCCCTCAGGGGAGGAGCAGGAGCGGGCTCAGAGGAGGGGGACTAGCGAGCCGGCAGGGCCGGCTGTAAATGCACGTTAATCTCTCCGTTTCTGAGTGTTGACGTGTGGCGTCTGCAGGCTCCACAGACCTCTAGAGAACAGACTGGAAGAAAGTGCTCTGACTGATTCACCCATTGGAGTCAGTATGTGTCAGGCACTGGGGACAGTGGAGAGGAAGTGTCCAGGGCCCTGTTCAGGCTGGCCGGGAGATGGCGGCCTGGTTGATGGAGAGCAGCAAGAGTCTGCTGAGGATTGGCCTGGGCACTTGGGGACGTGGTAGTGAGGCCTTTGGCTGGGTGGTTATGGGATACCCTGCAAGAGTGGCCTTGGCCTAAGCCTGAGGGTGAACATAGGGTAGACTGTGCAGAGCTGGAGAAGACTATGCAGCATGGCCCTGAGGTGGGACAGGAAACAAAGTGACTGCAGTGTGAGGAGCAGTGATTAGGAATTGGGGTTGATTTCAGGTGTGATGGAGGCTTTTAGATTTAACGGGCGGGGGGGGGGGCTGGGGGGAGGTCCCCACGACTTTCCAAAGGCAGATCTGGCTAGTAGAGCCAGAGTGGCGGCCTCATGGGCAGAAACTTTGGAAGGTTCCAGAACCGATGCCTGGGTGGCAGGATCAGGAGAAGTATTTTCTTCGTCATGGCCTTGCTTTCTCCTGGTTCCTTAAGGGAAGCGAGTGCTATTCTGCGGCAGATGAAGGCAGAGCTCACAGATTTGGTCTTCCTGGTGACTGGTGCTGTATGTCCGTCCAGGAGGGGTGGGCAGCATGGATGAGAGTCCCACCTGGCTAGTCAGTTACCCCAAAGTACCCACGGGTCTTTCTCAGCCTGCAGGCCGTGCCACCTGCCAGATCCTGAACCCCAGGCAAGTATTTCCCGCCTGCTGGTCTCAGGGATAGTGGTGAAGTTTCATTCCAGGCCAGTTCCTGACAGGAGATTCAAGAGTTAGCACAGATGCACACCCCCCGCCCCCCCCAGTGAGACAGGTTTAGGTACCTGACCAGGCTTTAGCAGCCTACCCAACACTGCCTCTGAGCTGCCGGCAGCACGGGCAGCACGTGGGGATGTCTGTGTTTTCATCATTACAGGCATCCATCTGCATCCTTGGAGTTGGGAGCAGCAGCAGGACAGTATTTCCTCATGGGACTATCCCAGGACCAAGTTAAGAAGTGGCTGAGGATGCATCCTCCAACTTTTCTAAGGAAAAAAAAAAAAAAAAAAAAAAAGGCAAAACCTGCTGAATGGAGTGGAGGAAGTTCCTTCTTGCTCCTCAGGCAATCACGTGATCACCAGGTAGCTCAGAGTTCCCCCCTCCCACCCCGAGGCTGGCTGGTTCAGAGTTCCCTGGGTGAGGACACCAGGCTGGAGTCTGCTGCCACCAAACGGTAAATGATAGTCATATTGTGATGATGCCAGCTCATAGCTGGACAGCCTGGGAACTGCCTCCTGGCCCCTGGCTGGGAACACATGCTCTACATGGCCTTCATTTCCATTTCCAGCTCCCGGTCTCAGCCCCTGCATGTCCTAGAGTGGGCAGAAGGCCAACGGCAGCTCACTGCCTTCGTTCCCTCTCTAGGCACCTGACTGACACTTCTGCAGAGTTCTTCCTGGCCCCTGGGCCTCCTCTTTGCTTCTCCATCACATCTTTAGAGCCCTGTCCTGATCTGTGTGTGTGGAGGTCCCTTTGTTCTTCCCTCTCAACCACTGTAACCGCAGACAATGCCCCAGTTCTTATTCCCACCCAGACCAGTGGGGTACCTCCAGCTTTCTCCAGCACCAATGGATAGTTCAGGCTCCCCCGAGACCCTCCCTCACCAGGCTGTCAGGGGTGTTTTCACCCACCAGAGCTCTGCCCCACCGCCATGCATTGTGGAGCAAGCTGCATCTTGGCATATACCTAGTGGCTGGTGTCTGCCTACCTGGGCCCAGATTGTATCTGTCCTCTTGGCCTGGTGGCCTTCTGTACTCACCAATGTCACCTGCTGTATGGGTGTGGCACTAGGCAAGCCTATCTGGCTCCTGTTCATTCCCTGGAGTCATGAAGATGGAGACCAGGCTAGCTCAGCCAAGGCTGCTTAGCTTTGAGCATGGAGGAGAGGCTGATTGAGGTCTGTGAAGGGCACGATGAGAACCAGCTGATTTAGTCGCATGGCCTCAGGCAAAGGAGGAAGACTGCTGGGGGGGGGGGCTTAATGGAGTGTTTAGAAGTTATAATTAACTTTTCCCGGCGCCCCGGCACAGAACGATAGAGAAGACAATATAAAAGGAGGCCAAGGATTTTGTTAAATAGAGCTCGGTCTTCTGCAAGGAAACCCTTAATTAAAATCCGAAAGGGAGGAGGGCTGGGGGAGGAAGTATAGGATTCACTGCAAACCGGGGTCTGGATCTCCACTCATTTGCAATGTTGCTGTTGTGACTGTGTTGAAGGCCCCAGGACCGCACATTTCGCCACTCTGCAGTTCAAGTGGGTGAAGGAGCCAGGAAGGATGAATGGACCCGCCAACCCCCTCTAGAGTGGGCAGGGCTCGTAGCCTACACATTCTGATTATTCCTGTCCAAAGATGTTTGAGATGCAGTTGCAGTTTGATGACCCTCTCTAGCCACCTCTCCCTCACCTCTGGTAGGGTGGCCCCTGTTGTCTCTCACCTCTTGGGAGGCCAGTCTTGGACTTGATGGGAAGGGCTCTGCAGTTCATGGTTTCCTGACCCCAGAAGTTGGACAGATTCCCACTTCTATCTGATTCCTTTAGTTCTTGATCTCTTATCCATCCTCTCTGCTTCTCTGCTTCTCCACACCTCAAGACATAAGCCACCCCACCCCCGCCCCAATACTTCTGATCTGTGAGTGCATCTGTGTCTGGCCTGAATTTGACTTCCGGGATCTCATTCCTCTCCACTACCACAGTGGCTGAGATTCCCTACCTGGCTGTGCCTTCTGACCACTGTGGCCCAGTGGCCCGGAAGCATCTGAGCTTGGGCTCAGGCTCTGGAGACAGACAGGGTTCTAACTGCCTGTGTGGTAGGATAGGTAGGCGGAGCAGGCTGGGTTCTCAGTGTTGGGGCGGGCCTTA